AAATGATTGTGAAGCATTTCAACATTAATATTACAAATTATTGCGTCAGGCTAATATTGGCTTGACAGTATAATTATATATGGTTTCAAATAAAATAAAATAATATAAATAGATATGGTATCATGAAGTTATATAGAATTAAAAAATCACTTTTGGCAGTACTTCTGCACTCTATTTTTGTGCACTATAATTTCATTTCCATTTTCACTTCTCACTTTACAATTTACACCATGTGTACTAATCACTACAAAAGGACCTTTGAACCAAGAATCGAGTTTTGTTCGATTTTCATTATTAATCATAACAAAGTCACCTGGTTGCAAAACGAGATTTCGAGATGTTTTATCGTACTCAGTTTTTCGTTTCTCCTTTGATCTGATCAGAAAATCCCTAGCTCGCCTTGAAGAAAATTGAAACCTTTGGCGAACTTCCTGGTAAAAAGCGTCAATGTTATAGACCGGATCAATTTTACTTGTCAGCTCGTCAGGAATTTCAGGATTTTTTCCGAAAACTAGTTCAAAAGGCGTATAGTTATGCAAAACTCCCGGTGTGGTGTTAAAGCAAAATGAAAAATATTTAAGACAATTGTCCCAATCTGTCCATGTGTCATTAATGCACATGATCTAAGGTATTCATTCAGCACTCTGTGAGTTCTCTCACAGCTGCCAATGCTCTGATGGTGATAAGCTGTTGAGAATTTATGGCTGATGTTTAGTAAACTAGACAACTTCTCCAAAACTTCATTTTTATATTCGGTTCCCATATCCGTTCGAATTTCTTTCATGGGGCCAAAAACCAAAATAAAGTTTTCCATGATAGCTCTAGCTACAGTTGACGCTTCCTTATTTGGAATTGGTACGACTACCAGATATTTGGTTAATTCGCACTGCATAGTTACGGCGTAAACGTTGTTTTTATCGCTTTTAGTAAATGGTCCAATCGTATCTATGCATACTATATCGAAAGCTTGCTGTGGCGTAGGTGTAATGACCATGGGTTCTTTATGGGTGATTTGGCTTTTATTTATCTGGCATTTCCGGCATTGTTTGACGTAGTTTGCAACATCACGTGACCGCAATGACCCCCAAAAAGAGGATCATCGTGACATTTTTCTATAAGTTTGTATTTTTCGTCGTCATCATAAATTATTTTGGGGTTACAGTATAAAAATATTTTCAGGATGTTTAAATAATCTTGTCCTAATAATTGAAAATCGTCTAACGAGCACGTGCTAAATATTTCATCATTTGTTTTTAATTTTAATTTTTGCAAATTGTTTTCACGAGCCATAATTTGTAGCTGAGACAATATTTTCCCTAAAGAAAAATTGTCATTGGTGAAACATATCTTGCTTTCAGCGCTGAATTTCTCTTTCCCACATTTTTCCACAACAATCCTTAGATTATTTGGCTTAAAAATAAATTTTAATGAAGGAATCTTAATTAAATTATAATTATCATTTGTCAATATTATTCTGGAAACTTCATCAGTTGCTATTTGAGTGTGGCTATTTGAGTTATCATTGGGTTCATCACGCAGGATTGGTTGTTGTTTTTTGGACATTGACCTAGTAATTGCTAAGATTTTGTGATTTTCTGACGTCATATTTTTGAGATCATCGATTGTAATTCTAGACAGTGCGTCAGCTACCACATTATCCTTTCCTTTTATATACTGAATTTCGAAATCATATTCTTCCAAGTCTAACCTCATACGCATAAGTTTCGAAGATGGGTTTTTCATTGAAAATAGGTACACCAGAGGTCTATGATCTGATTTAACTAGAAATGTTTTACCATACAAGTAAGGTCTAAAATGATTAATTCCCCAGTGTATTGCAGCTAATTCTTTTTCTATAACAGATTTATTAGATTCGCCTTTGGTAAAGCCTCTTGAAGCGTATGCTATTGGAAGATCTTGTCCATTTGAATTTTGAGATAAAACCGCCCCACAGGCTTCTTTTGACGCGTCCGTCGTAAGAATGAAGGGTTTCTCAAAATCCGGATATTGTAAGATTTGTGGATCAATCAGCATCTGTTTTAGTCTCTCGAATGACCTTTGACATTCGGCGGTCCACAAAAATTGTGTGTTTTTCTTTGTCAATTTTGTTAAGGGTTTTGTTATCTCTGCGAAATTTTTAATAAATCGGGGATAATAGTTGCAAAAACTGGTAAATCGCCTTACGTCATCGCCTCATTTTGGTGTAGGGTATTTGCGAATTACATCATATTTTGATTCGTCAGGTAAAATTCCGTCCGCTCGTATTTGATGACCTAAATAACAGCAGTTGTTTTGAAAAAACTTGCATTTGTTTGGGTTTAATTTTAAATTGAATTTTCGACATGTGTTAAATATATTTTTCAGGTTTTGTATATGGTGACCTACCGAACATCCTATTACAATTATGTCATCCATATAAAGGAAAGCCTTTTCGGGTGTTATACCAGCAAAAGCGATGCTCATCATCCTCTGGAAACTGTTTGGGCTGACTTTAAGACCGAATGGAAGACGAGTAAAACGATAAGAAGCTGAATTAGTACTAAAGGTGGTAATATCCCGAGAGTTTTCTTCCAGAGGGATCTGATGAAATCCCGATCTTAAATCTAGCGTCGAGAACCACTTAGCTCTTCCCAATTGGTCTAAAATATCATCAATTCTTGCTATAGGAAATTTATCTGCGCAAAGTTTTTTGTTGATCTGTCTATAATCGATTACAAGACGCCATATTTTCTCGCCATTAGTAGATTTTTTAGGTACGAGCAGTATTGGGCTATTATATTCTGATTGCGATGGCTCAATTATATTTTCATTTAACATTTTATTTACTTGAGTGTTGATTTCGCTTATTTGAGCATGTGGTGTTCTATAGTTTTTTATATATATTGGAGTTTCGTCTGTCAATCTTAGCTTTTGTTCATAGAAATTATTTGTTGTTAATTGATCTGTGTCTAGAGCGAAAATATCTGAAAACTCCTGACATAAGTGTATGACGTCATTCTTTACGAATTCTGGTATATCATTAGTATTTAATTCTTTTAATAACATCGCATTTCTGTTTTGTTTACTACTGTTGTTTTGACTACTCATAATATGAAAAATGTTATAATTGGTTAGATTTTCGCATTTCGTTATAGGATTTTTAATAGTAGCCCTGTCGAAATTCGTATTTAATATTCTGATAAATGGACTTTGGCTAGATACTATAGTGCTTGCAATAAAAACTCCAGGGGCTATTTCGTCATTTTGGACCACAGAATCTTGTTTTAGATTTTTCAGTGAGTTCAGTTCCCTTACAACTTCACATCTCGGTGGAATTATTAAGACATCGTCTTCTGGACTATTATATATTGGCAATGTAATGTCGTTTTCATCGGTTTTCATCGTCATTGTCCAATTACTATAGTTCAGCTGACATTGATACTTTGAGATAAAGTCACGTCCTAAAATTCCATCTGCTGGTATAGGAAAGTCATCATTTACGATATGAAAAGTATGGTTAAAACTGTAGTTTTCTATAAAAAAATTTGTTCTAGTGGTTCCTATGGAGCTAGTATAGCCTTCTGACCACCTGTTCCGGATCTATTTTAGTTCTTTTAAAAAGCGAAATATCGGCTCCAGTGTCAACAAGTAGTGTGATATTTTGGTAACCTGTCATTTCTGTTTGAATTGATACGAAATTTGACAGAGCTAGGTCCATATTAAATATTTTTAGGAATGCCCCAAAGGACCTTCTTGGGGTTCCCGAGGGTTTTCCTGATCGTTCCGTGTATCATATGCCCTCACAAAACGGTTTGGCGTCCTTTGGTAACTTGACCCTCTATTGTTATTACCCCTCGTTTGTCTGAATGGACGCTCATTGTAGTTATTATGCTGATGAGAGGTTTGATTATAACGATTATTTGGGTGTCCGAATCTTTGATTAGTTTGACCTCTTCTGCGGAAATTATTCGTTGACCTTCCTCTGTAACTATGCCTTTGAGTGTAGAACACATGTGGTGCTGGTAGAGCTTTCAGCACTAACGTTTACAAATTTTGTTAGCGCGTCCTGCGCATACTAGGTCATATGCGTTATTGTAACAATAATAATAAATTGTTATACTCGTGTCCATCATGTTTATCAAATATAATAAGGCAGTCTATTCCGAACCATGAAGAGTATTATTTGACCACACCGATTCACCGCACTTTCTACATGGCGATCCTGCCAGTGCCCAAAGCTAGAAATTTTTTTTCTTCGCTCGAAAAGTTCAATAAATAGCAGCAGCGACGGTGCCGGTAGCTAATAAATACGAAAAGAGCGCGAAAAATGGGTAAATCGGTCTCTAAACAAAGTGACGTGACCAGTTCGGGAGTGGTCAACTCAAACTTTATTGTTGAGAATGACAAGTTAGGAGTTCCGCACGACATTCGGGCCGTTTTCTACATAATTGCAGTATGCGTATTGATTCTCACAATAATAAGCATTCGGAAGTTGTATCGGAGAAGTTTAAAAAAGGACAATAGCAGAAGTTTGTACTTTAAATCACCCCTAAGAACCCAAGGAGGAGCAGAGGATGTTTAGGACCCAGCTAAGTATACCAAAATAGCTGATCCTTTGGTATGTACATTAATGTTGTGTTAATCTGGATGCTTGGTTTCGACACATAATACACCATTAAAAATTGAGTTAATGAACTTTCTTGGTATGTCCCTTAGTACCTGTGTGTCATGGAAACGGGAAACGCTGATACAGACATTTTTCCCAAGGCCGTTTTTCACAGCGTAATTACAGTATCAATTTCGCGAAACAATAATATGGGACATTAACTTATATTAAATACTATTACATTTAATAAAGGTTTTAGATATTATGTAGGTCAGTTTTACATTTAAAATTGATTATTTTATAATTTTTGTAGGTATAGTTGAATTTTAAAATCGCATTAATGAATGTTACTATAAAGGAGTTTAATATGTTATTATTTATATGAGTAAACCTTAATTTCTATTTATGTCCATAGTAAAATTAACATTTGAGGACGTTTTAACCAAGCTATCAAGCCTAAAAGAAGAAATTATTAAAGAATCAAAAAGAGTTTTAAAAACAAAGGTACCTCAATCAGAAAGTGTAAGAAGCCAAGTAAGAGATAATTTACTAACACTATATAATAATTTTACTTTAACAGTAGCAACTTTTTATAACAATTTGAATGACAGCCAACATAAAACCGTCAAAGCTTTATTTACTACTTGTAGAGATAGAGTTGTTAGATCGTACCAAGTTCTTCGCGTTGACTATAAAATCCCTGTCTCGATTCTGAAGCAAATTGACCCTGACATTATAGACGAGCTTTTAACAATTGATTTAGCAACGAACGACGACGATGATCTTGACAATCAACAAGAGCACTTGAAGTTAAAAACTGAAATTAACTCTCCAGCCACCATGCCTATGACAACTTTAGAATTTTTCAATTTTGCGAGCAAAATCCTGCCAAACGAGTTTGATGGTTCTGCAGATAAGTTGACGTCATTTCTTGATGCACTCACGCTTCTTAAGGCAAACGTTGAGACGCATGAAGGTAATGCCGTTGCTTATATCAAAACCAGGCTGACGGGTAAGGCTAGAAGTTTAGTAGGCGAAGGCGACACTCTTGATCTTATTCATGCAAGGCTAAAAAATGGCATAAAGCATGAAAGCTCTCAGTCACTAACAGCCAAGCTACTCAACTTGAAACAGCGTCATAATGACACAAAATATGCTACTGAAGTAGAGGAGCTATCTCAAAGGTTAAAAACAGCATACATTTGTGAAGGAGTACCAGAGCAGGTTGCGGAGACTTACACCACCCACGCTACTGTCAAAGCTCTTTCCACAAATGCGACCTCAGAAAAAACAAAAATTGTTATGGAAGCCGGAAATTTTCAAACTACGCAGGATCGCCATGTAGAAAGTGCGGTGAATCGGTGTGGTCAAATAATACTCTTCATGGTTCGGAATAGACTGCCTTATTATATTTGATAAACATGATGGACACGAGTATAACAATTTATTATTATTGTTACAATAACGCATATGACCTAGATTTAGTTGCTATGTCAATGAAATATATAAACCATATTTGGTGGCCTTACAACGGCGCGAATGAGTAAAATATATGTTTGCTTTAGCCTGCGATAACTCCTTTATATATTGGAGTATTAACTTAATTTTTCGCTCAAAAACTGGCAAATTTAATTGGCTTTCTTTCGTCTCAATTATATACCGACCTATTTTCAATAATAAACTAACTAGAGCCGTTTTAACACAACAAAGCGCGGTCTGGTGGCAGAAGTTGTGTGGCTCCCCTCTCATTCCCGCTACCCGCTGACAACGACTGGCATGAATTAAAAAACTACGTGTGATGCCGTAGACTGCATGCAATGATATGACAGTCAATTTTGCTTGTTTATGGAGCTTTGTGTTCTATTTTAAAAAGTCTATTTTATCGGGTTCTGCTTGCATCAGGAGTTATTGCACAGGTAAGATGATATTATCAGTTACACAAAAAGTTAACTGGAAAATATCCATAATTTTTAGGAAACTTGTAAGTACGAATGAAATTAAGTTAGAAAAGAGAACGAGTACACGTCAAAATTTTAAAAATTAATTAAATAGGTAGGTGGTTGTTCTGTGAGCCGATAATAAGTTATCGGTATCTATTATCCCGTAATTTCAAGGTTGATTGGTCTAAGTGAGCATCTATCACTTGTCCAATTAATTGTTATATTTTACAGTTTTCTCTTTTACGCTTCACGTAATTTTTTTCATTTTATAGACGGATTAACATTGACGTCATGGATAATTGTGTTTTATGTTGCAAAACATTTTCGGCGAAATCACCTTGTGGTCCTTGTGTTAGAAAGCCAACAAAACAGAGCTACGCAACAATTTTTTCGGCAGCAGAGTATTACCTCCTGTACTAAGATATTAAGTTTTTCTTTTTATTGGTGCCGCTTTTACCACAAATCAAGCAGTCAGCTTCTATATTAAACTTCTCCTTACCACTACGACCGGCGCTACTGCTTCATGGAAATACTTTGATTATGTTTGGGTTATTTAATTTCACTACCTACTTATCAATATTATTTTTGCTGCAAAAAGATATTCTGCAACTTATATGATATCTGAATATTTAGGGAATTTTTTCCAATTTTAATTGAGAAACGGTTAGATGTATTTCTAAAATCGTCAAAAGTTTTTGAGAATAGTCAAATGTTATTCAGAATGCGTTAAGTATGATTGTCAATAGTTATATGTAATTGAGAAACCGTCAAATGTAATTGAGAAAACGTTAATTTAATTATTGTGAATGCGTTAATTGTATTTCAGAAAACATCAAATGAAATTCAGAATAGGTCAAAAGAAATTAAGATCATGCAAAATTCGAAACTGTGGAAAATAATTAAGCAATCCATATCCGATATCCCATAAATTTTCACGAATTTGTGGCACCTCGTATATAAAATTTTCGAATCTTCATGATCTCAACTTTATTTTACCTATTCTGAATGGTATTTTATGCTTTCTGAATTACATTTAACGTTTTTTCAATTATATTTGCCCATCCTCGAATAGAATTAACGCATTCTCAATTACATTTGCCTATTCTCAATTACTTTTGACGATTTCTGAAATACATCTAACCGTTTCTCAATTAAAATTGGGAAAAATTCCCTAAATATTCAAACATCATATAAGTTGCAGAAGATGTTTTTGCTGCAAAAATAATATTGACAAAGTAGTGAAATCAAATAACCCAAACATAATGAAAGTATTTCCATGAAGAAGTAGTAGTAAGGAGAAGTTTAATATAAAAGCTGACTGCTTAATTTGTGGTAAAAGCGGCACCAATAAAAAGAAAAACCTAATATCTATTAGTACAGGTACAGGGAGTAGTACCCTGCTGCAGAAAAAATTGTCGCGTTGCTCTGTTTTGTTGGCTTTCTAACACAAAAGACAAGGACCACAAGGTGATTCCGCCGGAAATGTTTTACAACATAAAATATAATTATCCATGACGTCAATGTTAGTCCGTCTACAAAATGAAAAAATTCACGTGAAGCGTAAAAGAGAGATCTGTCAAATATACCTAACAATTATTTGGACAAGTGGTATATGCTCACTTAGACCAATCACACTTATTGAAATTACTGGATAATAGATACCCATAACTTATTATCGGCTCACAGAACAACCACCTACCTATTTAATTAGTTTTTAAAGTTTTAACGTGCACCCGTTCTCTTTTTTAACTTAATTGCATTCGACTTACAAGTTTCCCAAAAATTATCGATAATTTCCAGTTAACTTTTTCTGTTACTAGTTACTGATATTATCTTACCATTCTTACCTGTGCAATAACTCCTGATGCAAGCAGAATCCGATAAACTAGACTTTTTGAAATAGAACACAAAGTTCCACAAACAAGAAAAATTGACTGTCATATCATTGCATGCAGTCTACTGTATCAAGCATAGTTTTTCAATTCATGCTTGTGGTTGTCAGCAGGCAGCTGGAATGAGAGGGGAGCCACACAACTTCTGCTGCCAGACCGCGCTTTGTTGTGTTAAAACGGCTCTAGTTAGTTTATTATTGAAAATAGGTCGGTATATAATTGAGATGAAAAAAATCCAATTGAATTTGCCAGTTTTTGAGCAAAAACTTATGTTATTACTCCAATATATAAAAGAGTGATCGCAGGTGAAAGCAAACATATATTTTACCTACGAGCGTGCGGTAAAGTGCACTTTACCGCATGTTTTTGAAAATGGAAAGTATCACTTTACCGCACACTATGCGGTAAAGTTAACTTTACAGCATAGTGTGCGGTAAAGTTAATTTTACAGCATAGTATGCGGTAAAGTGCACTTTACCGAACACTTTGTAGTCCGCTTTACCGCATAGTGTGCGGTAAAGTAGAATTTGATATTTATGATCAAAATTCCTTTCTTTTCCAGAAAATGGATTTTTGATCCTTTCTAAATTTAATCTTATTCCAATAATTAATTTGATTCATTAATTATTTTATCAATGCTTTTTTTGGAGGTGTAGATGCTCATAGGTAAAATTTTGTACCTAACACATGCGGAAAGTGATATTTTACCGCACGCAACGGCAGTTGACCGAACGTCGCGAAGCGGAGTCAAGGTAAATAACTATTACACATTCGCGCCGTTGCTACGAAATAATTGATGTTTTGAGCTCTACTTTGATATTTTTCTAACAATATATATACACTATATTAAAGAGAATATATTTGTCTAGAATCTAGAGCAAAAATCATTTAATTATCTCAAGCGGTTCAGAAGTTATACGAGGTTAAAGTTGGAAATTTTAGTTTCCGTATATTTTTAGTTTTTTGTTCCTAACTTAGCTCTCGACCAATGAAAAAAGTCGTCCATTTTGATTTTCTATCAAGAAAAATATGCTGAATCATGTGGTACTAGTCTCAATAAATTATACCTCAATACCGGGTTTTTGAACGCAAACGCTTCTCCGCCGACGGCCTATATACCACTTCTAATGCACGGACCACGTAAATCACGGTGTATATATTTGAAAAGAGAAAAATATGGACGTTTAAAAAAAAGATTTAAATATAGATTATTCCATTCAAAAAATTATTTTTTTTACTACTAACCTGAGAAATAGTCATTATTCAATCTATTTTTTTAGGAAAAAATTGAATTTCTCTCCCTAGGTTAATAATGAAAATAATGAAAAAATACCTAGGTCAATAATGAAAATGACGTCATGATGCAAGGATATTGTCATGTTTCTATTGGTCCAATTTCAATTTCATACGACAATGCAAAAAAAATACAGGTTTCCGTAGGTACATATAGGAAGTTATCATAAGCTGTTGTTAGAGGGCAGCACTTTCAAAAGGGCGTTCAAAAAAATAATTAAGAGCACAGATTTTGAATATTTTTTTTATTTTCTACTAGTAGTAGTAAAAAAAATTCTATATATTCCTAGTAGTGTAAGATGGCCGGTTCACCATCCTCCGACGCCTCCGACGCCTCCGTGACGTCTGCGCATGCGCCAACCAGAGCGTCGCGACGCCGTGACGTCATCAGTCAGCTGGCATCTGTCAATGTCACTCATCTGTCAATGTCACCTGTCAATGTCACCTGAAAATGTCAG